CCAGCGAAAGTACCTGAGATCGTCGCTAGAGGGATCGCTTTCTCATGAGTGGTCGATTTCTTATCCAATTCGTATAAATATGAATCTTCGTTTACTATACGTACGCGTCTAGGGTACGGGTCTGCTAGGAAGCCTTACTGACGAGTCCACTAGCAGGCCCAGGACGAAACGCCGCTCCCCCCCATACTCGTTTCCTTTCCCTTCTTCCAGTTGCGCGCTCGCGGGAACCGAGGCCGGATGAACAAACATCATTGCGCTACGATAGATGAAGAGAAACATCAAAACGGAGCGGAACCCAGCCTAGCCTAGAAATTGCCGAACTTTGTCGACATCGGAACAGAGGAGATGGAATTCTGAAGCAAACGTGCCAACAAATTGCCGATCTTCTTTAGTACGTGTGGCTACACGCAACTCTGATGTTCAACTACGACCGTTCGAACTCACACCATCGATCCAACGGTCCATGCATGCGCCGATTCTCAGGGACATCGAAGACATTCAGAACGCGCACGTAGAAGGACAAACCTAACTGTGTACTACGCTAACGATACGCTACTACTTATAGCACGACGCACGACATTGTACGCCGCATCGAATAGCAAGCAGCCTGGCACACGTCGCATCGAGTCACACGCAGAAGATATACGCATGGCAAATGGCAATTCATCCTTCATTCCATCCATTTACACTCAATAACCGACCGATATATCCCCGCGTCTAAGGCAAGGGTCTGCTAGAAAATAGCCTTACTGATGAGTCCGCTAGCAGGCCCAGGACGAAACGCTATTTCTTTTTCCTCTATACTAGCTGCTTCCGTACTTTATTAGAAGCTGTAAATCGCCTGCCATCTCTATATTTTGTAATAAATATTAAATCTGCGCATGTGGAATGTCATCTTCTTTTATTACAGCACATGGAGACTGACACAGCACTCACATGAGATCCAGAACAATATATATACAGTGACTGCCATTAATATTCGAATACATTTAAAAAAGGAATAATTGTTTTAATATTAAAGTAAACAATTTTATTTTCTGTAGGATGTTAGAAGGCTTTATTATAAGATTCAGCCACGGAAATATTCGTTCCGATTGTAACGCTCGGTCGTGAATGAACTCGGGCCCAATGCGTGCTCTCATTGGTCAGTGTTTTTTATTAATAATTCAAAAATCATGCTTCTCTTTGCATTTTGCCAAAGGAAATTATTGTGTAGAAAAACCTACAGAATCATTTCTCTTCGATTCTAACATATTTTTTGCGACACCCTGTATACAGGCAAGGGGATGATCCTGGTTTTTTTTTTAAATCGGGAAATAAAAAGTACGTAGATAGCTCGTCCCCACGGCCATTGATAAATAAACAATGCAACAGTGGCGGAAAACGAACTTGTTCCCGTGATTGTTTATTGCATTGCAAACGGGAGAGGCGGAATCAACGATATAAAAGCTTTCAATAACCGGAGGCCCCTTCTCCATAGCGAGTCTACTTGCGCGTCATCTCCCAAATGGATTTCGTATTGTGCAGAGAACACACTTTATTTCCTCTTTCTCACTCGCCGATGCGAAGCGAGGGAACACGCGACTTCATATCAGCCGAATTCTGACTTCTCAGAGTCTGCCTTATACTGTACGCCGTTCTTACGGTCCATTAATTTTGGAATTCTGTCAGTTTGAAAATGCATGGAATAATGGAAGGGACCCATTACGNTTAAGGGAATTTAAAATAATTTAAAAAACTATAAAAAATATTCGAATTAATTTTATTTATGATAATAGGGATTATAAAGTATACTGAGCACAAAATATCAAACAGTATATGATCATCGATCACCTCGTAGATATTCGATATAAACATTTTATGTTCAATTTATTCGAGTCTGTGACAAATGATTTGAATCCTGAAGAACAGCTTCTGACCCGTCGCGTCTCCGTTTTGTTTTCTTCTGTCACTTCGTTCGAAATGAATCTTCGAATGGAACCAGGCTAGGTCAGCTCGAATGGGTTTCTGTTCTTCCAGATCGCTTCGGTTTCCAGCGGGAGATCCTTAGGTAGTACCTACCCGGGATCCGTGAGCGGGTTTACGTACATTGGACGAAAATGGTGCACTCTACATTATGGTTCATCGTTTCGGGGGACGAAGTGAATCAAAGGTACGCGGAAATTTCGCTGCAATCGTGAAATGGATTTCACTATTGCAACACATCCAGTTTCCGGCACGCTTCCCTTTCTCTGTTTGCGTGCGTACTTCTATTTTCCGTCAAATATTTCCGAAACCATGTCAGCTGCACTTCGTTTCTGTTTGTAACTGTATTCGACACTCGCCGCCTTCCCTGTGCTCTCGTTCTCCTTTGACTACTTGTGATCAAACTTCCGTATGTTAGATCGATTTAATACTCGGAGTGTTTTATTTCATTTCGCGCTCAATTATTCTTAAGATTCTACGAGCTGCAAGGTCTTTGCCAAAAATTTATCAAGTATGATAAAAAGCTCGGTCCAATATTTGAAGCGATCAATTGTTAGGAAAAATTATATTTACTTTGATAGTCTTCCAAAATTTCTAAAATTTTTCACAGTGTTTTATTAATGTAATGCCTAAATACTACCTTAAGCTATAATAAGTACACAGTAAATGCATTGCTGTATAATTGAAGTTATTATGAAATACTAAAATTTCTTTGTTACTTTATATTCATAATTTTATTAGCTAATTTTGCACAATCTTATCTAACAATTAGTCTATAGCTATTATTGCATATTTCTTTTCAAGAACAGTTTCTTCTGTCCTAATATGTTCGAAATGTATGTCAAAATTATGAATACTTTTTTTGTTTTAGCTAAATTAAGTACATTTTTTTCACATGAGCCATTAAACGAAAAATCATACTTTCATCACGAGTGTAATTGACATATACGTCGGAAGAGTCAATAGTTGGATCTGAAGAGAGTGACTATGTGTTAGTTAATGTAGCAATCTTGGTCCATTAGATGAATTTTCTTTAGTACCGTGTTTTCTAACTTAAAGTTCCTATTCGATGTAATCATTTACAGCAAATGAACTTGCCTGACGTCCGATCGGGTCGCCAACAGGTTGACTCGTGGAGACAGAGAAGTTTATTTCGTGCGGAATCGAACCGAAGGCGGCAAAAAGTGAAGTTAACTCGGGAAACGTTCGGCATGCGGGTGAATTGTATTTCCAGCATGAATTTCGGTTGGTCGATGGCTCTCGCCGATTCTCGGTGCTGTACGAGGAAGGACGAGGAGAAGGAGAAAGAGAGAGAGAGAGAGAGAGAGCGAGAGACTGTTCTAACTTCTCTCGCTCATCGCGTATTCTAGTCAGCACTTTCGGAAGAGCGAGTAACGTCCAATCCGAAGCTGAAACTGGGTCAACGTTTGCTCGCCAATCTGAGAAAAGAACGAAATACGTCCGCAAGAACAGAGACCGCCCTTGCGATGTCGAACCGGCAAGCGAGACACCCTAGAGACCAGATGGCCCCCACCCTTATTACCGAGAGTTCCGATATTTTTGATCCGGTTCTGAAATCCCAATCGAAATCGTCCGTTTGTTATCGTGAACGCTGTCCACTCGACGGAAGTCTCCCAAAAATTTTCTCGAACTTCACGACTTTACAATCCCCGCTTTTATGTTTAAAAGAACAGACATTTATTTTTTCCCTCAAAATTAAATACACATATTTATTGTTGCATGTTATATAAAATAATGAAGATATTTTCTCTACTTAATATACTTTTCTAGAAATGAAAATTTATTAAATGTCATGAAAATTATTTTATACGAAGATTTATTGATCTTTTGAAGAGTTTCTAAAACTCTTTTACAAGAGCAGCAAGCGGTAAATGGAAAGACAGCAATTTCCACTGTCCTCGAGAACTGCTTTTGCCTTATGGTGTAGAGAGCCATCATTTACATATATACGGTTTACGACCATAAGTTATTATCTCGTTGTACCTCGTCCTCCGACGAGTTTACGTAACTTACAGAGTTATTAAATCCATTAAGATTATCCTGTTAACTGTCTGGGTCGAAGTTTCACTTTCTTTCACGGTACAATTTACATTCATGTCGGTCGTCATCTTCATGATTTCAAGAAAATGGCAAGCAGAGGTGAGGAGTAAAACGTGCCAGAAAATCTTCAGGGAATTTCCCAGAAAGAAGATCGATTCAGAGAGAGAGAGAGAGAGCGAGAGAGATTCGCATAAGTACGTCGTAGATAAATTTTATGCGATCGCACAAATCATTCTAAGTAGGTATCTAAACCGATTTGGTCACAGTGATACGTCATCGCCGTGACAATTATTTGAACAAGAGTGAAATCATCGAATTTGCCTTCACGCAGTATTTGTAGGGAATTGCGTTCAGCGTGCAGCGATGCGCGAACACGAACGGATGGATTGATTTATCGGCCGCGGCGAAGATTCCTTCGCTGACAACTCCCAAAACGATTGTCGTGGAACATTTCCAGGAAACGAATTACATTTATGCCAGAAACTATAAATAATTTCAGAGAGACGCGGACTGGCCGTAAAAACGGATTGTAACCGTACAAAAGTACACTTACACACACTTATAATAAATTATTTAATGACCCTAAGAGGGATTGGACACTCGCATAAAAATGTGCCTAAACCGTAAGTTGCATTCAAAGTTAATAAGTAGATATAAACTACGTTCATAGATCGTTTTCAATGAAACCAAAATCAACACCGGAGTCATCATTTTATAGAAAGACGAGAAATGTAGTCTCATAAATTCATATCTTTGACAAATATCGGTATCTTTGACGTTGTACCTTACCCTGCCGCTATTGGAGTTTACCTCCTTAATTAGGAGACCTCTCCTCGAACCCTAACCGCATCCCCTCGACAAGAAAGACGGTTTCAAGGAAACGAAAAATCACAAGATTCCTATCGGAATTCATTTCCCAGAAACAGTAAAGAGAACAGCGAAGAATCGAAGCGAGGTACGGAAATCGCGGGACGATGAACGCGATATTATACACATTTCTACAGTTGAACATATTGCATTCATGTTTTCCTGTCGGACGGATAGCAGTGGCAATTACCACGCTTGCGACAGAGACGACTACAGTCGTCGTGGAGCGAGAGACGGAAAGAGACGAGGAACAAGAGGAGGAGCAGCAGGAAATCGAGAACGTACCGATGACGGAACAGGTTATGGATCCGGACATAAAAATAACTGACGTGCCCGACGTGGAGGAAACCATCGAGGAGGACCGGGAGGCCACTTGGGACAAGAACAAGGTCATCAGAGACGTTGCGTACTATATTCGAGCGCACAAATTCCGGGATTACGATCGCCGTTATCACAAACAGCTCGAAGATTCCCCGTACAGACTCTATGAGCAATTCCCTAAACCGCCTTTGAGATCTCTGCACTGGGAAGTGCGTAGGTATACCTGATGAACTCGACATGAATATCATTTGTTTCAATTTGATACGTTGAAGTGGGTTCAAAGCTAGCTTGCTTGCCTTGGGACTTTTGAGAGACCCCTGTGTGACTGGCAGAGAAACGTAGAACTTTTAATTAGAATATATTTCACATAAAAAATTTATTTCAACGTTCGATGTGTACATTATATGCAATTCTTGTATTTTTTGCACATCATATGCAATTTTTATATAAATGCCCAATATCTTTAGCCTAGTAATTACACTTCCAAGTGCGATGTTTTTTATTAAACGAACTCCAGTTTTGATCAATAAGTAATGAACAATAAGTAAAGATAGGAAACGTAAATAAAAAGTTAAATTGCATGCAATAAAGTCATGCAAATTCTTCAAATTACTGTATTTAGACACTGTGACGCGAGTTTCGTCGAGTGTTTGAAATATCTCGAGAGAGTCATCGAACGGACCGCCCTCAAACGAGAGGACGACACTGTAACGGTCATGAAGAAACAAAAGTGGAATCCGGCAGAGCACGAAAAGGAGATCCTCGCTGCCCAAAAGGACTGTCAAACAGCCCTGAAACGCGACGACCTGACCGTGATACCCTTTCAAGGTCCAATAGGCAAGTTCCTACGAAATGCACCTAATCATTACGAAGATTCTCAATGGGAATCCTCTTTAAAAAGCTACAGTAGGCCAGAAGCTCACAATTCCTGGAATAGAGTATAAAATAGTATAGAAGTACGAAAGCTCAGAATTTTAAGTTGGAAGCGATTATAAATAAAGTTAATGCTTGTTATTTCGCTATCTAACTCGCGGTCACTTTCATCGTGGGCCCCCGAGGCCTTCTGCTTCTACACGCGTTTCTCTAAACTTTCACATTGATGGTGAATCTTTTTAAGAAATGGGTCACAATTCCGACGTTCCATTATTCTTTTTAACACTAGTTCGTGAATCACCATAATCGCTCTATAATAAAGATTATGGCTTTGTATAGTTTTGTTGCCTTCCATCGTTTCAGCGACGTACAGAGCCGGTCCATTTATAGATAATGTGGATTGTGCATTAGAGTCACTTATCTTAAACATTTTTATAAAACAATGAAAAAAATCTTCAGAACGTTTCCAGTGGCGGACGACTGTGAGTTACTACATGTGCTGGTACACGATGCTCGAGGTTCCGGAGCTGAGCATCTTCGGCGAGTCTTGCGACAATCACGCCGATTGCCAGTTTCCGTCCGAGGGAGATCCGAGGGCTGACGACGCTCAACCGTATGCCTGCGCCCTTTATAGCTTCTGCCCGGACCATTGTTGCCCCATAAAACGAGTACGTGATATGACGGATTGCTATCAGTCCACGCTGAATCCCTGCTACGCCGGGAACCCACCGGGTGCGTGCGAATTACCCATTATAAGAGGATTGCTTTTGTTTCGAGCTAATTTCATACGCAATTTTCAATTAATCGCATCGATTAACAATTCAGTGCACCAATTTCATTAATCGCATCACATACATATGTATTTTCTAATAATATTTTTGTTTACAGAGCATGACGCGTTTCTTGTAAGAAAATGATTCTAAGCGCGTCTTATAAGAACGTAATACAAATAATTACGATAGTTAAATTCATATTGTTGTTATTGTTCATATTTACTTATGGTTCAAAGTGCTGTTTGTACTCTTTTGATTAATTTTGCATTAATCGAAATGCTAGATAATTTCTTAATAGAAGTAAATTTTGTGCAAAATAAAATATTCGTAATTTAAAAAATGTGATTTACATAGACGTTTAGCTTATCATTTAAGTATTTTAACATGCATTCTAATTTTCATATTTTTACACATTACGTGCAGTATTTATATTTTCTGTACATTGAATTTTCTTAGAAATGCACAAAATCCGCAGTAGTTATTAAATTCAGCCGATTATTTTATTAATATCTATAGCCGAGAGGGAGTGTACGTTGAACCGACAAGAGAATCAGGATCTCCTCAGCCTGGTGGCGAATCGTATCAACATCAGCTGCGAGTGTCGCGACGCCGGTTACGAATGGTCGTCCAGATTTGGGATCTGCGTCGACGTGAACGAGTGCATCCGTGGGGGACACGATTGCTCGAAAGAGGACGGGGAAATCTGCATGAATCTACCTGGCAATTTCGAGTGCGTCTGCAAGTTCGGCTACGTTTACGATTTGGGGCGGAAGGATTGCGTCTTCAGTTCTGAGATCGAGGACGTGTTGGCCGGAGAGAAGGACGAGACGAACGTGACCAAAACTAAGAGCATCATAGACCAGATAGTAAAAGCCATTGCGAGGTCCCACAGCGATCGTGTCGCCATACACCGCGTGCTCCTTCTTGCTGCGACTGTTTCCACTTTTTCCTTACTCCTTAATGAGATGGAATAACGATATTTATGTTACTTATGTTATATGTTGCCCTTGTCTCACTTAAGTAAACATTCCTAGCTTCTTTGATTAGAAAATAAGTATTTAATTGAGAAACTGAATAATGTAGCGCAGTGCATTATAATTAACTGTAATTAAGTATAGATGTTATAATAGATCGGTATTCAGAGTCGTTACTTATATTTAAGATCGCCTTAAGCATTTGCTTAAGTCTTTGTTTCCTATACAAAACAGGGATTGGAAATATGGGATAGACAGAGATAGGAAATGTTTAAGACGATCTCAAAAATAAGTAACGATTATGAATACCGGCCATAGTTTAAATATGCAAAGACATACGAATGTAATAAATTAACATACTTATTAAAATAGATCTATCTCTAAATGAATGTCTCAAATTTTTATTAGAGACCCTAATAAAAAAATTAGAGAATGCGACATTTGCAATTTCGACCAATAAAAACTTTTTACTTAAATCTATAGTAAAAACTAACAATAAGTCTGTTTGCATTCCATAGAAAAATATATTGTTTGGTCTGATATTAGAAAAGTTATTACATTTCGGAGTGCGTTAACTTAATATTTGATTGTGTGTAATATTATTGTCCCCTGAAAGATGGGAAATATTTTATCATAGTTCGCATTTAAAATGTTACATAATATCACGTTGAACGTTATATTAAAAATTCTTCGTCCTTTCCTCGCATTTAATTGAATAAGCACGAAATCGTAAATATAGGCAATTGAGGGAGAGGGAAGTCGTTTAGCGAAAACCGCAGCTGTTATTAGTGAGTCGTCGCGCGAAAAGCGGTTCTGAGTGGTAGTCGTAAGGCAGCACTAATGGTTCGGAAAAGCGATCTTTCAGCGGACCGACTCTTATATTGCGTTTTAAACCATTCAGAAGGAATCTCGTGCTCGGTAAAGGAGAATGAAAGAGGAATACGAAGTGTGCCGTGTGATGAAGTGATCTAACTTGTCCAGACAGGGAGAGAGAGAAAGCACTTTAAGGAATTAGGCTGGCGATGCGTAGACGACTTGAAAGACATCGTTACTTTTGTACGCTATTAGCCCTTTTCCCGGTCTTTGAGCGCTTTCAACGTGAGTGCTTAAAGGCACCGACTGCCATTCATTTTCTTCGTAAACCGGATTCACGGGAAAAAATTTCAACGAAACGCGACGATCGAGAGATCGAGAAACTATATAATCTTAGTTCATCTTTTTCTCCTCTTTGTTGTCTCCTTTTTCGGAAATTCGAATTTCCTCTTTCGTAATAAAATTTAACCAACCGAAATTAGTTACCTCTGACGGGGCTTCTATACAAATTAAAATCTACCCTATCACTCCTGTTTCCGATAAACTACTTCCTAATCCTTGTAACTTTCACGTCAATCCGATCACTTCCTTAAATCTTTTTATGAGTTGAAATGTTTTTAAGTAGAACAGTCGAAGAGTTGGATTTCGATGATTATCACATAGATTAAGATATTTTTTACTGTTCTAAAGTAGCTACTTGTTAGCTATTTGTCCAGCAACAACTCTATTTGCGATGGCGGTTCTATCCGGAAACGTTCGCGTAATCGAAAATGTCGAAAAACGAATAAAACAGACGAACGTCCGGTAAAATTGGTACACAATTGTTTGTTACCACACGGTTCATAATTGCAGCTCCGAGTAACGAACACGCGAGGACTGTGTTCCGAGATAATAATTTGTAAATGTTTTCCTACTAAACAGTTACACGTTGCCCACGATTTAAAATTCTAATTTTGCGTGCAATCCCGCTGCGTGCACGTGTCGGCCCGCGGGCTCTACACCGACGGGTCGCGTCGTCGTAGCGCGTCGTTAGTTTTTCAGTCTGCCCACCGTTTCCGCCGCAGCGGTCGAGCCCAATATTTTTAGACAATCTCTTCCGTCTAATTTCCTGCAAAATTGCGATTTTTATTCAGCTTCATCTAAAACCACCGCTGAAGTGCGCGAGAAAACAGGTTACTATTAAAAACACTGGCGTAAATTATTTTTGTTGAAGTTATTTTTTGGAAAACTCCTAAAGCTGTCACTCGGAAAGGACATTATGCAAAATTATTTTATTTGTCGAAACGATCATAGTCCCCGATGTGACTCCGACCGTGATAATTATAACTGTAATTTCGTATCGTACGAGGACATTTATTAATTTGCAGTTATTAATTTCCGTAATACTTTATCCGGAAATCTCGTCATCGGCGAAGTTCATTCATAGAAATATGACGTCTTTTTTATGATTATTACCGATTTATGAATCTGCGCACTGAAATCGATAACCATTCAACTCGAACAGCCTCTCATTCGTTACTTAATCTACCCGGATATAGTCAATTGGTTAGAAATGAAGAATTCAACTGCTGCAGGAGTTTGATAATTTCGCTCGCTTTTGAATTTCAACTGCAACGTCACAATATAACAGCAGTCGATGTCGACTGATCGTGACCTCAGTAATTGATGTTGGTCGAGCGTTATCAGGTTTTCGATTAACTTTAACGATTTTAATCATTATTAGTGGACTGCGGATTTTACGTAGAAATAATAAATACCATGTAATGTACAAAACAATTAAAAATATCAAAAGGCGAATATTTCAGATGAAATCTTATTATAAGTTTCTACTTTGCTTTACTTCTGCGTTTCTACTACTGCGTTTATCAGCAAACGTAACAATCCTTTTAAGGTCGAAAGGCATGAAATAAACGATTACTACTCCTACTACTATTCCTATCCATCGTACGAATAATTCTAAGCAGAATTCATGTCGGAAAAACATGGGTGGACGTAAAAGTATTTTTTCACATTTTCGACTTGATCGATGCGCAATTTACCTGTAACTCGACTGGACAACGTGTACCTCCTTCTTTCCTCCTCCCGTTCTATCCCCATCCATGAATATGTACATTTTTTCCCGGATTTTGCGCGCACGTTGTTCCGCCGTCGCGCGGCAGCGAAGCAGTTCCGTGGTCCTCCATCGCGACGTGCCAGTTATGCTGTTTGCGAATACAAAATCGAGGCAATTTGGAAGAAACCACCGAGCTGCGCGTTATACCAGGCGTCCCTGCCATTTGACGGACACGTTCGTTATCATGGGACGTCGATACTCATTTTCGTATCGATGACGATGTTTACTCGTGTACCGGACACGTCTACCTGTGTCACTCTCGTCACCGATATTTTTCTCGACATGGGGGCAAATTATTCGGTTAACGAATAGAGACACTCGAAATTAACTTCTGAATAATTCTTGTTCGGGGAAGTATTAATCGTTAGAACGAATTTATATACAGTCATAGAATACCAATTTTATTAAAAGACAAACTGATAATTAACCAACAATAATTTGGTAAAGTTTTTGTTTATAAGAAAAAATATATTTTTTCCTGTCAATGTTATTACTTCAATGATAAGCTATGGCAAAGCGAATTTTTATAAAGCGAAACGAGATGGTCGATCGATCCTGAATTTAGCACACATATTCTATACTAATCTTACACAATGTTTTCAGATGTTTTGCTAGACAATCAATAGAAAACATATGGTAAAAATGATTAAACATATTCACCCCTATAACTACCCTCCGGATTGAGGATTGCAAATTGGCATGAAACGGTTTTTTGGACAATATCGAATGACTTTTGACCGTTTTAACTGGCTAGATTCTTTCGAAAATTACCTTAGTATCACATCCCGTGGTCATTCAAATGACCTTTAACTATTTTGGAGTTGAAAATCGAGGCGAATTTAAATTGTGGGGAATAAAAATGTGAAAGCGTTCATGTTATTTGTCGCGGTCTACGGTAAAATTCCGTTGAACTCCAGGTTCCTTTCTCCCGTGCCATCTCTCTCTCTTAAGCTCTCTCCTTCTCTCTCTCTCTCTCTCTCTCTCTCGCTCTTTACGGAATTTAAGCGAAATGAATGAACGCACCCAACTTCGGTTTTTAGCAATCAACCGCTCTATCTTTAAGAGCGACCGTTTTACGTAAAACGCAGAAGGTCTGTACGTAAAACCCTGTTATTCGCGGCAACTCGTTCACCGAACTATTTCGTTTCCGAAAACGGCCTCTAATAAACGAAGTTACAGCATGCATACATATTTCTGGCCGCGTATTCCCGTTCCCGGCGCGGTACGCGAGAGGCGAATGGGCACCAATTTAAATGGGTTAACGTTATCCTTGGCAGGATAGGATCGTCGTGCCGCTGAAACCGTTTGTAACTGAATAAACGCGTTGCGTTACGTTTTAAACTGTTCATATCCGATCGTCGTGAACGGAAGCTTCGCGGCCGTTGTTGTTAGCAATTGCGATGGGCGTACGGGCGGTCGCGGCGCGCCGGTACCGGTACCCGTAGCTATTCTCATTTACATAGAGATGCATTTCGAGTGTTTGTGAACCGTCTGTCTGTGCGCCATCAAGACTGGCCCGTTCATCGTTTGTCGTCGTCACTCGAACCGAAACTACGTTTAAGACACGTCGCGTTAAAGAGAAACCTCCGAAACGAATATCTTCAGTTGAATTAAATGGAGAGAAATTAATATTACAAATTGCAATGATAAAGTAATAAAAATTCTGATCTTTCTACTTAAAAATTAGTTTAGAATCGCACTGATAAGAAAACTCATTCTATAAAATCGAATAACTTTTTTAAAATTGGATAAATTACAGTTTTCTAAAATTTATATAAATTACTATTCTCGATGCAAAGCGGAATGCCTCTAATACAGAATGTATTCACCGAGTTACTGAAGGTTTTACTGTACGTATGTAATTTTATATCTAATGTCCATAAAAAATTGTTCATCGACATGTAGCAGGCAAAGCGCACGCGATCAATCATACTGATACGGAATTTCGAGCTTGAATCGCCTATCGAGTTTCTGGATTGAACGCAAGTGGTGTTGGAAAATTATTGGAAAAACGAGCGCGTTTCAACTACGGTATTGAAGTTTCATAAAAAGGAGGAACTTTCGAGGGAAGACACAGGCCGCCAATTAATTTCATCGATAAATAAATTAATAGTTACTCCTGCTTCTCCTTGTTCGTCAATAGATCCGTGAATACTTATTAAGGCAGTAAATTGTGCACAAATAAGCACAAATAGAGCCTCAGTCTTTCATGTTTTCGATCACTTCCTTTATAGGGGCTAGATACTGCTAACGGCGCGATAAAGCGGAGTGTCAATGTTATTCACTAAATTGGCCAAAAATAGAGCCCATCGATTCTATGTCCTTGTGTCTCAGAGAATCAACACAAAATCCGTTTCATTCGTCTGCGAATTTCGAATAAATTAATATATTTAATTAATAGATTAATAGGTACAATTTATTCACGCTGTTATTTACATAAGATAAATGTCCCAATTCGTATTCACTCGTGTTAAAAACACTTTTCGTTATATTTATTTTATATGTTTATTATGCTTAAATTATAGAAAAATATTAAATAGTAATAACAAAACTAATTACTTAATAATAATAATAATA